CCAAAAAAAAAAAAAAAAAAAACAACAACAATGGACTTGAAAATCTATCTAATTGAATGCCTCGATTTTTACAGCTATGGAAAATGAAATCTAATACCTTCAAACTTTTATGGTGTTACATGAATGGTAATTCTAGTTTTGTTTTGTTTTTACCAACCATGTTATCTGAAAATGGAAAATATAAATACTAACCTATACTGGCACCCAGGACCTGCTTCCTTTCATGTCCAGTGGACTGTTCTCCATCCTCACCTGACAAGGCCAGTGAGCAATATCTAGCACTTTCCTTCTTATAAAGCACCTACTGTTCTTTCTCTTCCTGCCTCACACCCCTCACCCAGACTTCTCTATGTATCCTGAACTCCAAAATGAAATAGCCTCATCTGCCACAAAAAAACTCAGCAGGCCCCCCAAATGAAACTGCCCACATGTCAGTTCTTTTTTGGTCACTGGCACCCAATACTCACGGGAGTCACCCTGTTGCCTCACATCTGGTCACCAGACCCTGGAGATTCCTGTAAGTCCTCCCCTTTCCTTTCCCAGTTGCCTTAGTTCAGCCCTCATCCTCTCCTTTCTGGTCATTTTGCATCTCCTACGTGATTAATGCTCCAGGGTCATCTTTCTAAATGCAAAGCTAATCATGTTACTTCCTTCCTTAAAACTCCAGCGACTTCCCACTGTCTGAAGCTGAAGTCCATACCCCTTCATAGCTCTCAAGGCTATAGCCATCTGGTCTCTCCACGCCTCTGTCAGGAATCACTGCACAACCCCAGTCCAACTCACTGAGCTGCTTCACGCCTCAGGATCACTGTGCTTCTGACTTTCTTCTCCTATTAGAAGACTCATTCATTACTTATTCAGCACACATGTAGTGAATTTTCACTATGTGATAAGCCCTGTATAAGGATACAGCAGTGGAGAGTGACACTGTGCTAGCCTCAAGGAGCTTACAGCCTAGCAGGGAAACAGATATCAAACAAATACACTATGGGGGGGTAGGGGTAGGGTGGGAAGGGTTCACCTGCATTTTGTTACAATATCCTTTCCTGCTTCTTTGTAAACTAAAATGATCTAGAAGTGGCCCTTTTTTTGTTTGGTGTGGTTTGTTTTTTGGTGAATCTGGGAGTTTAACATGCCTTTTTCCTGAGATGAAATTTTGCCTCGCACTTCCTCTTTCTGGAATTCACAATCCCAGCAAAATTCTCATCAGATTTCAAATGTCAGCATTCCTGAGCACCCCTCCCCCCCACCCCCACCCAGAGCACACCACCCTAAGGCAGAGCTGAACTGCCCTGTTCTTCCTCAGGACTCCAGCTGACATCAGAGCGCTTTAACCCTTCCCCACCTGACCCCTGCTGCATGGGCTGGGAGTCCCTAAGGACAGCAACAACATCCTTCCACCTTTCAATTCCCCACCTAACACAGTGCAGGCCCACGGTAAATGTTTAAATGTTCAAAGGGCAAACATTCACTCTTTAAAGGTAAATTACTTCATACATAAAGCATAACTTCGTATAAGCTTTTTGAATAACAATTGAGCAATACTGATAAAAACTTAAAAGGCCCAGAAGTACCACTTCTAGTTAATGTTCTACAGAAATCCTAGAAGTAGGCATAAAAAGCAGTACAGGGATATCTTATTTCAACATTTGGCATAGTTGCCAAAAACTAGAAGCAAATGTCAATGGCCACCAACAGAGATCTGTGTAAACAAATTATGGTGCATTCCTTCTGCAGAAGATCCCTTTGCTACCAGTAAGAAGGAGACAGACCTATCCATATTGGCACAGAAAGATATCCATAAGCTGTACAATGACAGTTATAGTGAAATCCTGCTATTTATTCTAAAAAAGAAAAAAACGTTTTCATAGCATGGGGGGAAGTCTCTAAGAAAGCAGCCCTGTGCGTTATCCCTAAGGGCATGGGACAAGAAGGAGGAAAAATCATCCTGTACTTTAAATTTCCTATCACTGAATTTGTTAGAATGCAGTTTAATATTTCTTAAATTTGAAACACAATCACTAAAGTAAAAAGGTATTTTTTACACTAAAGTATACATTATTTTACCAGTTTCTTGTTTAGGGAACTGAGATGATATTTTTAAATTCTGGGTTTTTCTAAAAAGATGAAATATTATTTGATCCACCTTCCCAGCACCCAGAATACAGACACATAGCAGGCACTCAGTTAATGTTTGCTGAATGAATAAACTGCTGTACAATTCCAAAACTGCTGGCCAAGGGTAGAAAGTATCTGCTTCACAAACTCACAAAGGAAAAAAATCACTCGCAGAAGTATCTTAACAAATGGTTACCGACCTACATAAATTAGGATTTTTTTTTAAGTAAATTTTCAAAAAGCACACAAACTCTCCTCACATAAGCAATCTTCTACCTACCAAGTTTACCAAGAAAAAGGCTCCTTCCAAATCAGTTTAATTCAAAACCTGGAGTGTGGCATATGGCTGCCCATAACACAAGTAATAGAAAGAAATAGGAAAACTTGGATTAAAACACAGGCACTCTAACAGAAAAAACCAATCACTCGGATCCACCTAAGTGCTTATTTGGGGAGGTAATTAACTTTTAGCTTGGACTACTGAGACCAAGGCCCCTGACAAGCAACCTGTTTATCTCCAGGTGCTAAAAGAATGCCGTAAAGATGGAAAGCCCTCCATGACTGTTGAAGCTGATGGGAGAGGTGAGACACCTGAGAGAAGGAAAGACAACCAAGGTTTTAGGCTTAAGGAAAAAGACTTGAATAGGTTCAAATTTAAGTTCATTCCTCCACCCCTTTTTTTGAAGTAAGATACAGTATATTTAATCAATTTCATAACTCATTTATTTATCTAAATAACAGCCAGGGAGCTCAGCTCTTCCTTGGTTGAAGTCCCCCCCCCCC